GAGAGAGAGAAAGAAACATTGATCTGAGAGAGAAACATCAATTGGATACGTCCCCATACATGACCCAACTGGGTTATCAAACCCAAACCTAGGTATGTTCACTAATTGGGGATCAAACCCACAGCCTTTGGTACAGGGGATGATGTTCCAACCAACTTAGCCGGACCAGGGCTGCTCAGTTCATTTTTAATCTCCTGCTCCTAGCACCGCGCACAGCCAAGGCAAATGCTCAAATGTGTTTATGAATGTTTCAAAAGCTTCGCCTCCCCACAGACAGAGTTTATTGTGGAAGGTGAATTCCTATGTTGCTGGTGCCCGTGATAAAACATGCAAACAACCAACAGTCTTTCCAGCCTCTGGGCAATAAATGCACATGATCAATATTTCTTCTTGTTATTGCCAGTGTCTGCCCATTCTTCCTCTTTTTTAAAAAATATATTTTTATTGATTTCAGAGAGGAAGGGAGAGGGAGAGAGAGATAGAAACATCAATGATGAGAGAGAATCATCGATTGGCTGCCTCCTGTACACCCCCCACCGGGAACTGAGCCTGCACCCCGGGCACATGCCCTTGACTGGAATCGGACCTGGGACCCTTCAGTCCGCAGGACGATGCTCTATCCACTGAGCCAAACCAGCCAGGGCCCATTCTTCCTCTTCATGCCCGGCTTCCTCCCCAGGCCCCTGCTTCTCCTTAACTGTCCTAACCTTCCCCCAAAACTACCCTCTCTGTCCGTCACCCTGAGATTTTAGTTCCTAGTGGCGGCCTGACAAGCTTGGTAGATCCCCTAAAACGTGTAGCAATTCACGGGGAACTTCCTCTTTTGGGGACATTTCGGTGGCTAATGCTAAGTGGAATCTCAGCATTTTGCTGGCACAAGTTCAAAAGAATAAGACAACCAGAGGGGTGAGAGGAAAAGCTCAGAGATGAGCCCAGCCAACTCCAACCGCTTCTCCTGACTTTTCCTTCCCAAGAGGAACCCAGCCTTTCCAAAGCCCCTCGGACTTAGGTGCCCTGCTGGCCTAAGGCTGGGGACCTTGGTCTTGTGAGTTGGGGTCCTTGGCAGAGTTGAGCCCAGCTGTGCTCCAGAACCACGGACAGCGCCACCCCTCTTGTGAGGAGCTCCGCACGTCTATGGATCGCCCCCTGGAGGCCGATCCTTGCCATGACTCATGTGAAAGTAAGGCCAGAGCGTGAGGCTGGTGACGTTCTGTCCTACAGGACAGAGGTGCAGCCAAACTCCTCCTCAGTCTCCCCCTGGAACCTCCCTCATCCTAGGGAAGAGGAGACGGCTTCAGAGACACACTGCATTTCTGAGAGGTCACTGGGCCCCTTGGCCCTCAGGGCTGACTCTACTCTCACCCCCTCCAGAAAACCTGTCAGACTCCTGCCCTGCCCTTACTTCCTCCCCATTATTTTGCTTTTAAACCCTTCCTTGTACTGTCACAAAGCTCTGGACAATGGAAAACATAATCGGTGAGCCTTTTCTGTGCCTGGCACTGTGCCGAGTCCACTTCTTCAGCTCAAATGAAGAAATGAAGTATCACAAGTTGGGTTGAGATACTGTATGTGGAGCTGGTAGGTCACACAAATAAATTTGAAGTTTTAATTTATTCTGCATAAAGGTTAAATACTCAGATTGGGGAAAGGATCCTGTGGCCCTAGTGGAACAAAGCATGGAAACAGTTGTCCTTAAGAGCAGAGCAAGCCAGGCCAAGAAGAAAAAACAAAAAACAAAAAAACCTCAAAAACTAGGAAAGCTGGATTAAAATTTTTTTTAATGTTTGGAGTCAACAAAGAAATGTGCACAGTGAAGAGGGAAGAAGCAGGAAGTCAACAGCGATGAGGCAAGTATTTGGAGCCACTTTTTTCTTCAAATAGACTGCTGACTCTGAGCAGTCACGGAGAAGCTAAGTAGAACATTCAAGAATCTCATGGGGCCCCAGCGGTTTGGCTCAGCGGATAGAGCGTCGGATTGCAGACTGAAGGGTCCTGGGTTTGATTCCCATCAAGGGCACATGCCCGAGTTGCGGTCTCGGTCCCCGGTAGGGGGCGTGCAGGAGGCAGCCAATCAATGATTCGCTCTCATCTTTGATGTTTCTATCTCTCTATCTCCCTCTCCCTTCCTCTCTGAAATCAATAAAAATGTGGAAGAAGAAGAAGAGGAAGAATCTCATGGAGTCAGAAACGAGGTCTTGCCAAGAAGGACAGGCCCCCGTAAACATCGCCATCTTGTGGTTAGGACTGAAAATAGATGAGACGCAATAGGACCAGAAACTGGGTTTTGAATTCCCTCAATGCCTGATGGGATTGTAGTGACCCACCTGCTACAGGCCACAGTAACGATGCCTGGAGGAGGAGAATCCTACCCAGGGTCTACATTGTGGTCTGTGTAATTTGTCATTGCGCTTCAGACAGGGTGCGATCCAGGAGACAGCCACCCAGAGAACGATGAGAAGACGGGATTTATTAGAAAACCCAGACCTTAGACAATGTGCCAGGAGCCAGGAAGTGCTGTTCTGGAGGGCGCGGGAGGGTGAGAGACAGCGTCACGGAGCAGCTCACCTGCAGCACAGGTGCAGGTGGACGTGAGAGCCGGCCCATCCCGTCTCTCAAACCCCATCGCCTGTCTTCTTCCTGCTCTGCCTGGGGCTGCTCATCCAGCCGTTAATGTTAATCAGGCCACAAGGTCTCCGCAGGCTTCAGCAATGAGTCCCGGACTTCTCCCCCCACCCCCTACCCTCAGGGGCTGTGATGCCTCTGGCCAGCACCCAGCTCTGAGCAGGCCTCATTGGCCTCTGCGCTTGACCACTGAGTACTCGTGGGTGCTGGTGGCCTCCTGGTCCCGAGGCTCCCGTGGCTTCAGCCCCTCGAAGGTGAGGTTGGCGTAGTAGAGCTCCTGCTGCTCCCCCAACAGAGGGCCCTTCTCAGCAGGTGACGCTTGGTCCGGGGGCCCGTCCGGCTGGAGGTTTTTCTGGGAGCCCTGAGTGAAGGGGAGAGAAGGGCGTCCGAGAGGCATGAGGCAGACATGGTCCCAAAGAAAAGTGGGGCTGAGGGGACAGTTTTTTCCTTCATCTTCTTACTGCACAGACACTTCCCATAGACTCGACTATTCGCTCAAACCCCATCCTGTCCCGTCTCTCAAACCCCATCGCCTGTCTTCTTCCTGCTCTGCCTGGGAATGCTCTCAATTTTCTTTTGTTTTTTTTTTGAGGGTTTTGTTCTTTTGGTGCAAAAAGAAAGACTTATTCAGGCGCTGCGGCTTAGGAGAATGGTGGAATTTCATCTCGAAGACCATCCTCCTTCCTGCTCAAGCCTGCTGTTCTTTTATAATTTTTTTTATTTTTTGAGACTATTGCAGATGTTGACTAGACATATCAAGGGCCTACTGATCATATTCCATTCCCTCAGAAACCCAGTAATCATGATGCTCTCATTATCCCCATTTACAGATAGAGAAGCTGCGGTAAAGGAAGGTGAAGTCACATGCCCACAATGGGAAGGAAGTAATAGTTTGGGGGAGCTGGTTCTGGTGGCCTGTGCCTATCAGAGAGGTGAGGTGGGCTCAGTGGTCAGTGTGGCTGGGGCAGGAGGTTGACCATGGGTTCCAGGAAATGAAGGGGAAGTCAACTCCCGGCTGCCTGTCCAGCCGACCACAGAGGAGCTCAGTGTGGACTCCTTAATGGACATGCCCAGCCCCCCCCACACACACACGGCAGGAGAAAACACCCCCGTCACTCACCAAGGTGACTGTGCCCATCACAGGCTCTTCATCATTCATGACCTTTGGTCTCCCAGCTGCTTGCCTCCTGCGGGCTTTCACTCTAAGGGAAGAAGTCAGCAGCCAGAATGGCTCAGGCACAGGTGGGCAGCTGCGCCCACTCCCTGATGGACAACGGCGGCTTCCAGGCCCTGAGGCCAGACTCAGAGACCCTCCTGACATGCAGGTGAGGGTCCCGTCCCCCTGGATGCCCGGGGGTTTGGCCAAGACTGAATGTTCATCACCGAGGCCCCTCTCACACGCAGACACTTGTGCACAAGCCATCATCAGTGTGATTCATGGCAGCCAAAACGTCCAAGCAACCCAATGTCCGTAGTGAAGGAACGGACAAATCAAATGTGCCCCATCCATACCATGGAATATATTTGTAAATAAAAAGCAATGCAGAGCTGACACATGAACCTTGAAAATCTCAGGCTACAGGAAAGAAGTCAGTCACAGTGAACATGTATTATATCATGGCATTTCTATGAAATGTCAGAATGGGCAAATCTAGAGAAACAGGACATACTGGTTGTCTGGGGCTGGGGAAGGATGGAGGCATGAGGACAATACAGGGATGTGGAGTTTCTCTCTCTCTATCTCTCTTTTCTTTTTTTTTTTTTCAGACTAATAAAAAGGTTTCAAACTTGACCGTGGTGATGGGTGCAAAGCTGTGTGACTGAAGTAAAAGCCATTGAATCAGACACTTTAAATACATCGGAATTTTACCTCAATAAAGTTATTACCCCCCACCCACCACCCACCCACCCCAGCCTCGCCTCTGGATAAGCTTTGTGTTGGTGAAATTCTGTGACCTCTTTCAAGCCCCTAGGACCCAGCTCCCTGCCCCGGAGGCTCACATGCAAAAGAAGATGAGACACAAGCACAGGGACAGCAGGGCCATGGCACCAGCACCTCCGAGAGCCGCAGGAACCGCTCCCGCCTGGGGCACGGCCTTCCCTGCAGAGGAGAGGGGGGTGAGACACCCACGCCCGGGCCTCGGTCTCTCCTCTTCCCCCTCCTCCCAGAACCCGCTGTCGGTTCTGTTCAGCCAGAGCCCAACTGAGCTCAGTGGATGAGCATCCACCTGTGAACCAGGAGATCCCGGTTCCATTCCTGGTCAAGTGCACATGCCCAGGTTCCAGGCTCCATCTCCTCCTTGTAGGGGGCGTGCTGGAGGCAGCCGATCACTGATTCTCTCTCGTCATTGATGTTTCTGTCTCTCTCTCCCTCTCCCTTCCTCTCTGAAATCAATAAAACATTTTGGGGGGAAAACAAGAGACGGAGGACCCTGTCCTAGCAATCACCCCTGTCCCCAGGCAGACCCTCACCCCCAGACCCACCCTCTCTCTGACCCACTCCTTCCTCCGTGGCCTCTGCCCCCAGCAGGCCCTGACCTGGCAGCAGCAGGACAGAGGCGCTCTGGGTCCCGTGCACGTTCCGGGCCTCGCAGCTGAGTCTGAGTCCCTCACTGAGCCCCTCATTGAGGCTCAGGGAGCTGTTGGTCCAGGGCCCCTCTGAGCTGGAGGTGACAGCGTGGGAGACGTTGCCATGGTTTCCCTCCATCAGCCCCGCCCCCAGCCGCCAGCGCAGGGAGGGGGCCGGCTGGGCCCTGGAGGAGCAGCTGCAGTGCAGACCATGGTCCTCCCAGGAGCAGGAGGGTCCCAGCAGCTGCGGGGGGTCTGTGGGGAGCGAGGAGAAGGGTCAGCTGTGCCTCTAATCTCCCCAGAACCCTGCTGTCCTGTCCCCTGGGGTCTCCCCACTCACAGACCACGGAGAGGCTGAGAGAGACACTGTGGGAGCCCAGCGGGTGCCGAGCTTGGCAGGTGAACTCTCCTTCCTGTGCAGGCCCCACGCGAGGCAGCTCCAGGATCGCGGTGGGGGAGAGGGGTGTGGCATCCAGGCCTGGGGACCCCCAGAACCAGCTCAGCTCGGCAGGGGGGTTGCTGTCAGCCTCACAGCGCAGCCTCAGGGCCTCTCCCTCCAGGATGGTTAGGGATGTGGTTTGCAGATTCTTAAAGACTTTGGGGAGAATGATTATGAGAGAGAGAGAGAGAGAGAGAGAGAGAGAGAGAGAGAGAGAGAGAGAGAGAGAGGTGTGTGGAACACAGATGCAGGTACCCACCTACTAGAGTTGAGGGACTGGGGTGATGCCTTTCATCCTTGCCCTTCCCATGTCTCATCGCATTCAAACTCCTGCTCCCCCCCCCCCCCTGCTGCCCCATCAGCGCCCAGGGCTGGTCCCAACCCAGAGAGGAGGGGTTCTTTCCTACCTGGGTCGTTTCTGAAGGAGAGGCCTATGGTGAGGTTCCCTGGGGCATCTGGGATAGAAAGACAGGGCCCCCCTTCAGATGTAAGTAACTCCAACCCCAAGAAGGGGCAGTGGGAACACTCCCCACCTACACGCAGATCCATGCTGGGTGTTCTCAGGTTAGCTCAGCCTCCTGCACACACACACACACACACACACACACACACACACACACACACACGTCGCTCCCACTGCCCCCCACAGACCCAGCCACCCCTCCAACACTCACAGGAGACATTGAGCCGGATGGTTCTCTGTGTGGTCCACTGGGACCCTTCCCGTTGCACCTGACAGGTGAGGCTGGTGCCATGGTCCCGGGGCCTCGGGGTGAAGGTGAGCACTGAGGAGCTGCGGTTCTTGGGGTCCAGCGAGTCCACAGCGGCTCCCGCCCAGGAGAAGGTGAAACGTTGTCCCCCTCTGCAGGCCCCTGGCAGGCTGCAGGCCAGCTGTGAGGGGCGGCCGGACTCCAGAGGCTCCTGAATCCGGATGTGGGGTTTCTCTGTCAGGGCTGCGGGGGAGAAAGGCAGGTGCCTGGGCTCCAGGGTTGGGGACTCAGAGCAGGACCCTGAGAGAGGCCCTGCCTCGGGCTGAGCTCACCCAGGCCCTGTGTCTCTTCCCACCACCCAGGGCCCACGGCCTGGACAGGGAGTGTCCAGTGTCCTGTTCCTGCTCTAAGACGGGGTCCCATGTCCCTGGGTCCTCTCCCAGGCCCCTGCTGTACCTGTCACCATCAAATGCAGCTTCTTCATTACATAATTATATTTCACAGAATTCCCTCTCTCCACTCGGAAGAAGTAGCGTCCTCTGTCACTCCCCCTGGCATTTCTGATGTCCAGGGAACAGTTGTTGGTCGTGGGGTCCGCGAGGAGGAAGCGGCCTTGGGTCTCTCTCCTCACTGGTTTATTCCACTTGGTCGAGACCACAGGAGCAGAATAGTTTGTGTTGGCCCCGTCCCGGTACCAGTAGGTGTAGAGTTCACTAGAGGAATACCACGAACTCCACGGGTAGGAGAAGGAGCAGGGCACGTGGACACACAGACCCTCCTGCACTGTCACCGATTCCTGCACTCCGAGCTCATAGCCTGGATGCTGCTGCTGCAGGGACCCTGGGGGATGGGGATTTAGGCTCTGATGCTGCCCTCGTCCCTCCCCCACCTGCCCTGTCCCCACCCTCAACCACTCACCCCCCCACAGCAGAGGCAGCAGCAGCAGGGGCACCATGTCTGCCTCTGGCAGGGCAGAGCGGGTCGGTCCCTGTGTCAGGGAGGTAAGTGCCCAGCTCTGGGGTGGGGCATAGGTCACCCCCACAGGAAGCCCTGGGGGTGAGACTGGGGCCAGAATGGAAGGGGAACTTGGCCTCCACAGGATGTGGTGGGGGGTGACTGAGAAATATTTCTGTCTCCCCTCCCCCGTCCCCACCTGACCCTAAAGGTAAATGTACTGAGGTCCCTGGTTGTTGAGAGGGTGTCCAGATGTGAATCTGAAAGTGACCACCTTACAGAGGAGGTGTAAGTGGGGAGGGAGGTCGCCCAGGGGCCAGCACCCTCAGAGCTGGTCCTGGTGACTCAGGGTGTGGGGGGGAGCGACCTGCCCTCCAGCTGAAACTGTTGAACATTCTGGAAAAGGATCATTTTTTAGACCAAGTGGGAGTAAAACAGAGAGGAATTTAGACCCAAGTCCAGTGGAGGGTGGAACCCAGGGGCAGAGCTGAGTGGTAAAGGCCTTGGCTCTGAGGGCTTCTTGGGGACATGGAACGCACCTGTGTTGGCTCGATGGTTCGAGGGTCTGAGGGACAGCGAGAGTGCACACGGCCAATCAGAAACGGACGCGGATTTGGAGGGACCTCAGCACAGCAGGAGCGCTTCCGCCCGAAAGTTCATGAAAATCCACCTTCCTGGCCCCTCATCGCTGGGTCCCTGTTCAGAGCCCCACCCAGGCTGATGGGAAGTGTTCCCTTTCTGCTCCATCTGTGTCCCAACCCAGGCATCACAAACCCTGACATTCCATTCCCGCTGCTGGAGCACATAGTGGGGCTTCTGTGTGCCTCGCTGCCCTTGACTGATGGAATCTCAACGGAGGCACCAGTGAGCGCGGGGGGGATGTCAAAGGCCTTCGGGATAACATCACAGTCAGCTAGGGATGCAGGAGGCTCCCCTGGCGGGATAGGGGGTGAGCTCAGCAAGCTCCACACCTAATGTAGCAGCACCAGGTCCGTATCCAGCAAGGGAAGCACCATAAGTAAAAGCTATGAAAATTCAAAAGAAAATCAAGCTGACTTTCTCCATCAAGGATTGTGTCTATATAGGAAAATCCACGTACATACAGATACATGTAGGTGCTTGAGAAGAGAGTCAGCAAGGTTTCTAGAGACAAAATCAAATTGCAAAACTCAAATGCATCCGTATAGCACAGTGACCAACAAAAAACAGGATGGTATAATAGATGTCATGGACACATCAAAACTTACGATGTTCCTGGAACATTCAGAGATGCACATCACAAATATATGACATGCACGTCCTCAGGGGAGGAAATGGTACATGTGTTTGGGAGGACTTTACAGGTGGAAATAGATAGCCCTGGCCGGATGGCTCTGTTGGTGGAAGCATCCTCCCTACAGCACATTGGTTGCAGGTTCAATTCCAGGTCAGGGCACATACCTCGTTTCCATACCAGCTCAGAGCATGTATGGGAGGCAACGGATTTATGTTCTCATAAGCATGCCTGTTAATCATTGTCACTTGCTGTACTCCATTGTTCTTTGCTGTGTTCCCCCCCCCAATAAAAGCCAGAAGGGATCAGAGGGTCTTGGCTACACGCCTGAGCGAGCGGTAGCCCTCTGCTCTACTTCATCCTACACGCCAAGCTTGCCTCAGTGTCTCCGTTCACAAACAACATCAACACAGGCCTAAGGACTTCTTTTAGGGTTCTGTAGGATTGCTGATGTTGCGTCTCTCTTCATGACTTTGTTGACCATTTGTACATCATCTTTGGAGAAATGGTCTATTGAATGTTTTAGCCTTTTCTTCAATTGTGTTTTTATGGTTTCATATGTTGTCTTGTGTGAGTTTGTAATAGATGCTGGATATTAACTCCTTAACAGATACAGTGTCTTTCCCATCCTGGAGTCTGGAGTCTGGTGAGAGTGTCCTTTTGTGCTCAGGTTTTGAAGTTGGTACAGTCCCACTTGTCTCTGTTTGCTTTCCTTGTCTGTGCTTTCGATATAAATAACCAGGAAATCATTGCAATACCCAATGTGCTGGGATTTCCCCCTATGTTTCCCTCTAAGAGTTTATAGTGGTTGGTATTATATTTAGGTCGTTATTACATTTTTGCAGAGAGGAGAATGATTCTGTGATGGAAGCCCAGAACTGCATGAGCGAAACAATTGTGAGGGGTATTTTTCAAAATAGTCATTGTTTTCCTGCAGTGTGTTCTCACAGTGGGGTCTAAAGACGCTGAACTCACAGAAAGAGGGGAGAACGGTGATGCTGGGGCTGGGGGTGGGGAAATGGGGAGATGTTGGTCAAGGGTAACTTTCAGCTACAAGAGGAACAATTCCTGGGGATGTACTGGACAGCATGGCAAGTACAATTAACAGGATTGTATTACATACCTGAAAGTTGTTATGGTTACACATCATCAGTGTTATAACCATAACAATGGTAATTACATGAGAGGATGGAAATGTTGATGAACCTTATTGTGGTAATCACTTCACTATGTAGGTGCATCAAATATGCACATTGCATACCTTAAACTTGCATGCATTCTACATCAAAAATATCTCAGTTAATCTAGAAATAAAATAATTATTTACATCCTAGTAATTATTAATGTTCTCTAAAGTTTATCAAATTTATAGCTGTAAGCTATATGCAATAACAATACAAAATGGTGAGAGTATAGGTGGATGTGTCTTAAATGTTGAAATTTTTTATTATTTAAGAAAAGATATAGTCCAGCCAGTGTGGCTGAGGGGTTAAGCATCAATCTATGAACCAAGAGGTCAGGGTTCAACTCCCGGTCAGGGCACAAGCCTGTGTGAACGGCTTCATCCCCAGTAGGGGACGTGGAGAAAACAGGCGATCAATGACTCTCTCATTATTGATATTTCTATCGCTCTGTCTCCCTCCAAATTCCTCTCAGAAATCAATACAAATATTTTAGAAAATAAGAAGAGATATAAATACCAATTGAAGAAATTACAAGGAATAAACAAAATCTGTTACTTGAAACTGGTTCAACACCAGCAACAACAACAAGAGGAGATCCAGATGGAATTGGACTCAAGAAACTCCCACCGACACTAAATAGTAAGATCAATTGTCATGTGATATCACAGAAACGTTCTCATTTATGATTAAATGCTGGGATGTGTTATGACAATAATTCTGAGGTTGGCGTCTATGCACAGGGAGAGGAGAGCAGCTGGTAACTCTACTGCGTATCAGCACCTACAGATGGGAGACCAGAAGCTCAGATGGTGACCAGGTAACTTCAGGGCAAGCGGAGGATAAGGGGCCAACTTCAGTCCCTCTCTGGGCCTGAGAATGGAGAGAGAGGAGCATGGGGTGGGGGGATGAGTGGGCAGAACCAACAGAGAGAAAGAAAGAGGCGGGGAGGGGAACAAGTCAAATGGGAGAAGCACAGGCAGAAACAAGGGGCCGTCAGTGGGTGTGGATTATTGTTTATTTCTGTATATTAGGATGTTTTGAGCCATTAAACAGATTGAAAGCCAAGGAGACACAGGGCCTCCCAGGGCCGGCCCATTCTCAGAGACAGCAAAGAATTTCAGATGCAAACCAACCCATCCTGAGCCCATATTCCCAGCCTCCCCACCTGCCCCAAATCACCCAGGACCTGGGACCAGACACATGGAGACCACGCCCACAGGCCCATCCCTCAGACTGACACACACCAGCTGGTCCTGAACTGCTCACCCTGCCCTGCCTTGCGTTTCCCATGGGAACCCAATCAAGGCCTTCGCTAGGCTGCCCTGCACCTGCATCTGCTTCCTGAGGAAATCCGGGGCTTCCTGGGCACAGCGGCCCCTCCTCTCAGGAGGTGAAAGGAGTAAAAGTCTTCTCTCCATGGCATTGACTCCCCTGTGGTCACTCAGTCACATCCACACACTGAAACCCCAGGGGCACATTGGCGGCAGGTGCGTCAAGAGCTTCCAGGGAGAAGGTGCCATTGACGTCCCAGGACGGTCCATCTCGCCTGGTGTCCACACCTCAGTCCCATCTTGAGAGGAAGGGAGGATCCATCAGGAGCTCTGCCTCCTGTTCCGGGGGCCTCCACACCTGCGGGGCCCACACAGGTGTCAGCTCAGAGACTCGGCCACTTTGGCTCTAACTCCAGGCAGAGCCGGACACCTCAGCCCCACCTGGACCCCAGGGCCAATCCCTGACCTTCCCCGGGAGAGACAGGCCTGCTCACCTGGTGTAGTAGAGCCAGGTGAGGACGTAGGTGAGGAGGAAGCCAGCCCCCATGAGGGCCCCTCTGATCAGGGTGAGGACCAGGGGCCAGGAGCCCTGCTGCTCCTCAGTCACACATCTGCAGGAGTTCGGGCTGCCTGGGGAAGACAGGAGAAAGGTGACGTGTTGTCCAGGTGTCAGTCCACCCACAGCCCAACACCTGTCCAGGCGGCCACCCCTACACCTGTCGTGAAACTCACTCTGCACAGAGAGGCTGAAGGAGATGTGCTGGGAGCCCAGCGGGTGCTGAGCCCGGCAGGTGAACTCCCCTCCATCTCCAGCCCCCACGTGGGGCAGCTCCAGGACTCCGGGTGCTGAGGGCTGGGGCAGGTTCAGGGCTCTCCCCTCCTGGGACCAGCTCAGCGTGGCAGGGGGGTTGCTGTCAGCCTCGCAGACCAGGAGCAGGGACTGGCCCTCCAGGACAGGCAGGGATGTGTGGTTGCTCAGGGTCTTCAGGGCTGGGAGAGGAACACAGAAGGTGGCTCAAGAGCCAGGGACCCTGCTGGTCAGGCCGGGCTCCCAGGAAGAAGGGGCTGAGCTGAGGGTGGACAGGGGAGGAGTGGGCGGGCCCCTCAGGTGGAGATGCTTCAGGAATGGAGGCAGCCCGGCAGGGGAGAGGAGATGCACGGACACCGGCAATTCCGGTGGCAGAAGGCCCAGGAGCACCAAGCCCTTGATGATGGTGGAGAGGAGGCGGAGTTCGGGAGCCTGGTGCCTCTAGGGCCTCGCTGAGGGCATCAG